GGGGGGCTCGGGGCCTGCAATAGACCTGCTCACTCTTCCCCCTCCGCCTGGCAGCTCTCTGGGCTGGACCACCTCATGGGGATGGGAGAGACCAGGTGGCTCTGGGGCCACTTCTCTAGACTGAGAGCAGGGACTCGTGGAGAGAGAGTCGAGCTCCTGGCAACACTTGGACACATCCGTCTTTGCACATTTGAGAAAGCACGTGGACACACACTCAGGCACGAGTGTGTGGTGCCACAGGGGGACGGCTCACAGAGTGCAGTGAAGAGCTGCGCCCCCACAGCATTCCTCAGCACCCCACAGCCCGCTGGAGACCCTGCTCTGTGTGTTCAGCTTAGGGTCCCCACCCCGAAAACCCCTCACCTGACCCAGGACTGCAGCCTGTGCTGGAGAAGGGAGGTAGGAACCTCTTTGTGGCTGGTGCTATTCTCAAGGCCCACACGGCTCTTCTATGAACGGCACATGCTCAGAATCTGCTGTCCCCCGGGCTGGGCAGAGGTCCTGGGACCCTTAGAACATGGGGCCGGGGGGAGCTTCCAGAGGAGGTACAGAAAGTGGCATCTGGCAGAGCTGGGCTCCAGCCTTGGGTCTGGCCTCTCCGCCAGGCTGCTGGAGCATGCAGCGCAGCTGGGGCCCCCGGCCTGGGGTAGCTTATCTCACGGTGCACACGCTCGGCCCTCAAGGGGTGACCCAGCCTTGCTCCCCACATTCCACTTCAGCCACGCAGCCAGCGGGCCCCCCACAGCCCCGAGACAGGGCCTGCGCTCGGGGGTGGTCGGGAGCCACCACACTGAACCACCCCCTGCCCTCAACTCCAGCCCTGCGCAGCCACCTCTGGTATCTCTTCGCTTGTCTCTGCTTTTATCTGTCATGATGAATCTGTCACTGTCAGTACCTTAATCATGTTCTAATTTGTTTCTCTCTACTATTTTCAGCCTCTTAGTCTGTTTTTCTTTTCTCTCTCTGGGGTCCTTGAATGGGGCCACATCTAGGGATACTGCCACTCTTCTTTCTGGCTCATAGTGGCCAGCCGAGTGGGAACGTCTGAGAACTCAGGTGATGGGATAGAGGGCCTCAGAAAGATGAGACCTTGGAACTGTAGTGGGTGAGGTGGGCAGCCCGAGGAGCCCAAATTCAGGCCCCTCCCACCCAGCCGCTAGGAGTCAGCTGGATGATGGGCACTGGTGAGGCCTGGCGCTGGAGGCTCCCCTGTGTAATGGAGAAGCCTGGGGGTAGCAGCGAGGGGGAGGAAGCTGGGGCTGGAGGTCTCCCGGCCCGAGAGCCTCCTTCCTGTTTGTAGGGAAGTGACTGCCTCAGAAACCTGCCAGTGGGAGAGGAGGGAGGCCATGGGGACTTCCAGGAAGCTGGCCAAGGGCCCGAGGCCACCCTCCCTGTGCCCACATGGGGCCCTCTGGCCCTGGCTTAAAATAGTGCAGTTCCTCCTCTGCTGCTGCCGGGCCCAGCCTAGACCTCAGAGGGCTGCTGGCTGGCTGCTTGTGCTGCTGGCGGAGCCGGGTACCCAGCCCTCCTCAGACTGTTGCAGGAGGCTTCGTGTCTCAGCAACATGGGTGGGAATAGGGAGTGCAGAAAAAGCCTGGGTTCCTGAGTCAGAAGCCCTGGATTCAGGTCTCAGCTCCAATACCAACTAGCTGTGAGACTTTGGGTTGGCCCGTGTTGCCTCCCTGAGCCTCAGTTTCCACTTACGGAAAACAGGGTGAGTGCTTTTAACCCTAACCGGACCACGTATGTGGCAGATTCCTTTGGACCTTGCCACACAGAGTGGACACTCAAAATATGGGAGTTCCTTTGGCCTCCAACTCCTCACCTGAGGAAGTAACCCTGGAAGTACCCCCTCAGTACCTACACTGCTCCTAGGACTGGGTGTTGAACAAGAAAGGTTTGCGGAGAGTGAGCGTGCAGGGAGGGCAAGGATGGGGCTGTGGTCTCCATGGTGAGACTTGTTACCAAGGGAACAAGACTCCAAGAGCCCTGGGTCTGGCAGTTGGGCACTTTTGCCATAGGATCTCTGAGAGGCTGATTACCACTGTGGACCTAAAACCCTGAGGGGCAACCAGGCCAAGGCTCCTGGCTTTAACAGGTTTCTGCTGTTGGGGTGTAGGGAAAAAGCAAAAAAAGCTCCCCGTACCTAGCTTCCTTTTATGTACGGACTTCACTGAGCCCCAACTTTAACCCTGACGTCTCCTAAGACACAGGTACCATCAACACCATTTGTCTGACAGGGAAAGTGAGGATCCGAGATCTATCTGGGTCAAGGTCACAGGCAACCCGGAAGTTCAAGAGCTGGAATAAGAACTCAGGTGGTGAGATCCCTGGTTGATACACCCGCCGTCTCACAGACTGCTTGAGGGAAATGACCCCTGGAAAGAGCTCTGCGAAGCCAGACCCAGCCTCATCCCAGCACTCTCCCCTGCCATCATTTCCAGGGGTTCTGTCTTCAGATTCTGACTTAATTCGGAGTAGCCAGCCTTCCCTGTTTCTTCAGGTATGCAGATGACCTTACCTACCTCCGAGGGTTTGCACAAGGATGAGAATCAGAGCACAGATCTTGCTGAATAGTAGGTGCTCAATCGATGCTGGTTTACATTCATTCCTGACATCTCGCCAGTTATGTAACCTTAAGCAAATGACTTACCCTTTCTGTGCCTCAGTTTTCTTATCTGTAATATGGGATCATTATAGCATCAACTTCACTGGGTTGTTCTGGGCAATCAGTAGTACTCTAGTGCACACAAATACTTAGCACAGTGCGTCGCTTTGTTTTCTAGATGTTACTTTATTATTCTTCCATATTACTGGCTGGAACCCAGGAAACTAAAAGCTCAGCATCACATAAGCAGCAAAGAGCAGTGTCCTTTTATTCCATGGAATGTTATTATCCCAACAGAATTTTAACAGGAGGCAAAAATGTCCAATGCTCAAATGGTTTTGGTAGAACCTGGGCTAAACAACTTCAGTTTTCTTCAGGTGGGACTTCTCAGAGCCTTTAATATCCCAACAAGGGCTGAGGATCAATGTGGACCGAAGAGTGAGTGCAGTACTTCCCAGATTTTTGGCAACAGAATTCTGACTTCTTGTTCCACGGAACCATCTTGTGGGGTGTCTGTGTTGAGACGCCATACCGAGGTAGCGCCTGTAGTATTCTATACATCCGGGCAGCACCGCTTTTCAGCTCAGTTTGGTTGGGTCTGTTCATCTACCTCTTACAGAATTAATCCTTTTTTAGCTTATTGTTTTGAATGGTAAAAGGTTCACCCAAAGGCCATTACTGAGCTTTGCTACAAACTCTGGACATCCACATTCAGCACTATTGAATCGCTAAGGCTGAACAGGGAGGAAGCCTGTTGTAACTTTAATCAGATAGACCTGGGTTCAAAAGCCAATTCTGCCACTTACTCATGTGTCATCTTAAGCAAAAGGCTTAGCTTCCTCAAGCCTCAATTTGTTTATTAGAAAAATGGGGCTGAGACCTAACCCTTGCAAGGCTGTTATGAAGATTACTGAGACGACGCGAGTGACGCACCCATCACTGCCCGGACTCCCGAGGCGGTCGGCCAATGCATCCCTTCTCCGCCCGGCACCTCTGTGTATCTGTTCCCTCTTGTGGGGCAAGGAAGACAGTCTATTAATTCATTCTGCAGCATTTCCTTTGTTCTAAACCCATCTCTTTCAAAACTCAAGGGCTCTCTGGTTTCTTGTGCTGGAGGCTGAGGAATGGGAAGGCAGCTGGGTTTCCCTCATTTCATACAAGAGGATTAACAGACTTTGATCAAACACTCTTCAGCCTTTATCTTCCCAGCCTGAGGAGCCTTCATCTCTCCCATCTGTCTTCACACGCCCCTCAATCCAAACTCTGCCACTTCTCTGATCATATGCACAGGCCTGTAGGACAGTTGGGCAGATCTGGGTTCAAATCCAAACTTGACACTCCTGTATGATTTTGCCCACATCCCTTGACCTCTTAGAGCCTCCATATTTTCTGCTCTGGAAAAGCTGTTAACAGACCTCACCCATTTTCTGGAAAGACAGTATTCCTTTGCTAGAGCACAGTGCATCCAAGGCCATCCATCGGCCTCTCAAGCACTGCTCTCCTGCCCAAGGATCAGTTAAGATAATTCAGGGTTAAATAAAGTTGCCACCGTAACAGTTGTTTCTGCTTAGAGTGCCAACACATTAACCTATTCCTGGGGTAAGAGGAGACTCCAAAATTTGTTACCACAAAATAGGCTAGTCAAATAGAAATACTATCTGTAAAACTCACAGGGTGGTTGCCAAGCCCAAATGAAATAAATGGGAAATATAAAAGGCATAGAAAAAAAAAAAAGCAGACAGCTTTCTTTCCCCACACTCCTGAATGTGGCATCCAAGGCTCCCAAATGCTTCTCCAGCCTCAACTCTTGTTGTTCCCTCCCACCGGCCACCACTCCTGCCATGGCAGTCCCTTGTTATGCCCAAACACTCCCATCTTTCTGATTCACAGCCAGGCCTACGAGATGCTGTGGACCTCTTTGCCTCATGACTTTAGCCATCTTGAACAACACTCATCTGCGAAGCTTTTCCTGACTACCCTACATAGAACAAGCCACTCCTTCTCCAGGCGCTTATAGTTCCACATAACCCCTCATGACAACCTCCATCCCCCTGTACTGCCTCTCCACTGGGCTCACTTCCTCTGGTACTGCCACTCCCCTCGGGAGAGTCTTCTCACCTCTCTCAACTGTAGTTTCTTCAGTTACAAAATAGAAGCAATGATCCTTGAAGTTCAACATGGTGCGTGACACACAAGGTGGGCACTTCAGTCAGTGCTGGGTCACTGATCAGGTAGTTCAGAGACTACCCCCAGCCAGAGCCTCAGCAACAGGAACTGAGGTGGGCGTCAGTTATGAGCAAGAGCCACAGGTGTGAAGGCTCAAGCTGGTGCCTCAGGACATGCCATCATCCCTCCCCAGAACCCCAGATAAGCTTCAAAGACAGATGCCATGTGCAGAAGCATTCACATTTATTGATTCAATACAGTATCTAACATTTGCTAAACATGCATTTCACACTAATTGGTCACATTTCCACAGGTAGTCAATTCACAGAGCAGAGCCCATCCCTTGCCAGCTGGCAGGGTGGGAGGTAGCAGAGGGCCAGGGTAGCCTGCACAGCCCGCCAGCTATCATTTGGTCATGCAGGGTTGATGAAGCCAGGCTGGCGGGCAGCCCTTGGCCGGCCCTTTGGGGACAAGGGCTCAGAGACATCCCGTTTCCTGATTCCTACACACAGGACTGTGGGTGGAAGCAGAACTAGGACAGGTAACACGAGGATAGGCTCCTGGATGCGTGTGCCATCAGAGCCCCTAAAGGTAGTGCCTGTGGGAGTGGTGCTCCCTATGCCCTGGAGCACAGGAAGGAAATGGAGGTCTCTTCAAGGGGCATGACTAGTCCCTGGCTGGGAAGGTGGGAAGGAATCTCCACACACAGTCCAGACAGTACAGTGCAGTCACCAGCCCCTATGGCAGACCTAGGATGGCAACACAGACAAAAACACCAGCACCCCAGGGCAGGTGGGGCTTCTTTCCCCGACAGAAACGCATACACAGAGCAGGAGCTACAGTATTCTTTTCCCACAGGAATCCTCAGAGAGGAACCATGAGGATGTCACTTAAGAGGTAGTTTTTTTTTCTTTTTCATGGAAATTTGAGTCAACAAATAATCACCTATTACAAGACATTTTAGAGAAAAAAAGCAATAGTCATCAAAGGGCACAGATGGCAGGGCTAAGTCTGGAAGACTAGCCTCCACCAGCAACACAACTTTTGCTCTTGGGCTTGGAGAGGGCTCTGACCTTATTCACCGCTTCCTTTTGAGCCTACAGTTGATTCCCGTGCAGGCTGTGGCCCATTTAGGGCTGCAGGCCCAGAAGACGGATGCCATATAAGGAACGGACTAGACAGAGGGACCAGACTTCTATGAGCTGGTAGAGGCAGGGCCACTGTGGCTCATGTCATAGGACAGCTAGAAGCCTTCAAGTTTCATGGTGGCCCAGGTCTGGCAAGCAGAAGCCCTAGCTTGCTCCAGACCCGGCAGGCTCTCTAGGGCTCTCACCTTGGAGGAAACAGTTCAGGTCTGGCTCCCAAGCCCAGAAAAAATGTTGCCATAGCAGCCTAGAGAGGAGTTTCTGGGGACCCTGTAATTAAATACACATCCCTGAGCTGTGGCCCCAGAAACCCTTGTCTCCAGGCTAACCAGTTTCCAGCACCTGGTGGAATGACTGCCATTTCTCATCCTGACACACAGATAAAACATCATTTCACAGACACTGGACATAGATGCTTCAGCTGCAAAGGCAGAGGGGAGTGCAAGGGAATGCGCATGGAGTAGGGTGGGGAGGCGAGGGAGGAAGAGTAGCGGTTTTTTGTTAAACTTTTTTTTGTTTTTTCATTTTTTTTTTACTTTTAAAAAATTAATTAAAAAAATCAAAGTTTAATAAAAGGGCTGGTCTGAAAGACTGGATTCTTAAAACAATTGCAAAAATTTCAAAAGCAACAAGGAAAAAAGACATACACCAGGGGCCCAACGTGGAGGGCCTGGAACCACTGCTCAGCCTTCTGTCCTGCTGAAAGGTAGGGTTCCCTGAATTTGGCCAAACTTGGACATGGCTTAGATGCTGCCCACACTGGGTTTGTCTGTCTCTATTGGTCTCATTCCCCCAGGAAATCAAGAACAAACAAACAAATACAGGAAATGGGTAACAGAGCAATGCAGCCAGCTCAGGGCCCAGGATTTTAAGGATCTGGTGACACTGACCATGGCAGGTACTCACTTCCCTGAAAAAGAGTGGCAGGTGAGAGGCAGGCTGATGTGGAGTGGGCAATGTTCAGTGATGCCACAGAAACCCTTAGGATTCCCCATTCCTTGCTCTGGTTCTGGGGAACAGGACAGGGAGGATCCTGCCTACTTGCTCCTCTCCCTGGGGGCTTGCCCACTGCTCTTGTGAGCGGAGCATACTGGCTGGGTGTCCTCTGAGCCAGGCTGAGTGCTTTGAGACAGGTTCTGGGGAATTTCTCCAGATTAAGGGCAAGACCACCAAACCTTGCAAAGGACTCCAAAAGTCTACAAAGGTAGCCAGAGAGCACGAATAAGTTCCAACATGCCAAACTTTTGTCTTGGGACAAGAAAACATCAAAAAGGAGAGGGAGGGAAAGGCTTGCATGTTTCAACGTAGTACAAGGAGGTGGGATTCTCCTTTTCCACGTGGCTTTCAGAGTCATATTTTTATGGCGTAGAAATTCTCACTCAAAGTGATTGCTTTTGGTGGTTGAATCAGAGAGAGGACAGAGAGAGGAATTAGAGAAAACATGAACAACTTTCTCTCCTTCCACAATCAAAAGGCTACCTGTTAACCAAACATTATGGGAAGGCAAAAAACAAACACACCAAACCTCCCCCTCCAACCTTTCTCTGTGTCCTTCAAACCAAATTCACAAATACATCTAGTGGCTGACCTAATGTCTCCACGCTGCTAGCTACACTCCTACCTTCTCCGCATAATACCTGAGTTTCCAATGCAACACATTCACTTTACCCTGTTTAAAAAAAGCCCACGTCATAAAAGGACTGGGTGCAGAAGACATTAAAGACGGTCCACAGGTCAGGCTCCGGCTCGGAACACACGGCCACTTGGCTCAGAGATTCTGCAGGGCTCTCAGCAATGAATGGGCTCTTTGTTCTGTGGAATCTGCTGCAAACATTTGTAAAACTGGATTTGTACAATGGCAACTTGCAGAACCTTTTCCCCACTCCACAAATTAACAACTTGCTCTGTTTAATACTATGTTATTGGAGAGACACGTTCTTGCCTCATCAGAGAGCAATTCCCTTTGACACCCAACACAACGGGTAAAATGTTTAATTTGAAAAGCAATTTCAAAAATAATAGCTGGACAGATGGAGGCCTCCGCAAAGAAAGATGCTGTACGCAGGAGCTGTCTAAGAGAAAGGGTCTATGATATGCGTTTCCTTCCCAATGTGGAGGAAAGCAGCTCAGAGTCTGACCTGTGGCCAAAGAATGTGATCTAGTTGATTAAATTATATATTAAAAAAAAAAATCAGGGGAACAAGTATCGTGAACTTAGAAATAAACAGATACACATGAACATACAAAAATCTTCCCACTGATGTGAACAACATGCTAGCTGGAGCTTTTCCTGAGGAACATGTCTTTTCTGTTTCTCAGAGCAACCAGGGAAATAGCATCGAGGTGTAATGCTCTGAGTTTTAGATCCATCAAGGGGCAAAATCATCACTCTGCTGGTACCCATAACATTTCACCAGACAGAAGAAGTTACAATCAAACATGGACTACCCATGCACACGACATGGTGGCCTCCTGGGTAGCTTTACTAGGCTGAGTTGGGGAGAGAGCAAACAGCCTTTGACTAAATAGGCAAGGGAGGAGCCGTGGGCCTCCAACCCACTCAGGCATGCAGCCAGCTAAGAGGTCTGCTTGCCACACCGGCTGTGGAAGGTACCTCGTGCAGGCAGGATAACTATTACATTAAGGCAAAAAGGAGAAAAGCACCTCAAAGAGTTCCAAGACAGACCTGGTGTGGCACTGGCCAGGGTCAAGAGGGTAAGGAACACTTCCTGGGATGAGGTGGGGCAGGTAGTGAAAGAACAAGGAGTCCAGGCCATGTCTGCAGAGGAGCAGCCAGGCCATCAGGAACCTGAGGTAGTTTAAAGCCCCCCTTCCCTTCCAGGTATTTCTGGCTCCAGCCCTCCAGGCCTTGGCTGGTCTGTCCTACTGCTGAAGTAAGGGGCAGCTGGGCCACTCTGGGCCTTGGGCTTTGTGTTCTGGGTCCCTGAGGAGAACTGGTCTCACTCTGGAGAGAAACGGAGAACTTGGAGAAGAACTTAGGAGCAACACTTCTGGTCAGCAGACAGGTGAATGGTCCTTCCCACTGCTTACAAAAGACTGCAGGTTTTGGATTCAGACCTGAGGGAGCGGTAGGAAGGGGTGGGGAGAGGAACAGGGGATTTCACAAGAGGAGTGTCTATTCTTTTCACAGTCTGGCCTTGCCCTACTACCCTTTGAAGAAAACAAGGTGAAAGGAGAATAAATCAGTAGTGGGCACCAGGATTCAGAACATGGCATTCTGCTCAGCTGGTTTTTCAAAGGGCCAGTAGGAAATCAAATATGTTAAGGGAGCAGGAAGGAGAAAGGTAGAGCTCAGGAAATCTAGGTAAAGAAACTAGGTGGCTGGTGGCCCCAAGGGAGCTGGGAGGCAAGTCCTGTGGATCAACTGATTGCCAGGACTTTGCCTAGATGGAAAGTTCACAGTGGTAGACGGTGACAGTGGTGGTGCAGGGGTAGGGGCAGCAATGTGTGAGAACAGACACTCTTCTGCCACTAGGACTTCTTGGGTGGAAGGAAACCTGCCTTAAATTTGGTCACTGTGTCCTACTCTCTTAATCTTCATGCTTTCCAAGGAAAGCACATGGCGCAGTCATCACCCCTGTCCTGTTGCCGTCTCGCCAACCCTGCTTAGTCAATCTCCTAACAACACGTTGCCCCTTTACAGTGTGCCCTTTTACCTGGCAATTCTGTGGCTTAAAAAAGGCAATTTGCTCTCTGACAGACAAATGTATGAGTCTGCTGAGAAAATGTGGAAAAAGTAGGGATGGACACACCCCCTATTTCCATTGAGGTAGTCATCTTTGTTAACATTATGGAAATAGTCATCTTAGCCCCATCCCACCCTCTCCCTCAAAATACAAAAGAACTATTTCTAAACAATGACAACACTGTCACATTAAACATCTTCACATCTGTAAACTGTAAGAAGATGTATCGGCAGCATTCACACAAAAGCATGTGCATCATGTTGAAGGCCATACATTCAACTCTGTCGTGAAATAAATATATAGAAAAATGAGGTTAAAAAAACAGACAAACAAACAAAAACTCTTCTTGCTGTGGAGGCAACTGGAAATGCTGCTCCACGGCCTCCATCTTGGTCTCTCTGGCTTTTTCCTCCAGAGCCCATCCTGCCCACCCAAGGCGAGGTGGTCGGCCTGAGGAGGGCACTGGGAACAGGTCATTCTTTGCCCACACTTGTCTTGCAGGAATGCAGCACCACCTTAAAGAGGAGGGGCAGCTGCTCCAGGGGCACATTCACCATCTTTCCTGGGAACAAGGCGGGAGAAGAAGAGTTAGCAGCGGCCACTAGTGGATGGGCAAGTCGGCCTCCCTGGGCTGGTGCAGAGGGAGTATCACCTTGCTGAGTGTCTGGGGCAAGAGACATGCCAGGAGTATCACAAAGATCAGACACATTGGGCTAATATGCTAATATCCAGACCCCTCTGGGTGCCCCAAGGAGCCCAGTAATGGTGCCAACTCCTCATCCTACTACTCAGGGAATACTTCCTCTGTTCTAGGTGGTTAAATGCATTAACTCGTTTAATTCTCACACTACTTCTGTGTACGCTTTTAACCTTCGTTTTATAGATAAGGAATCTGAAACTGAGAGGTAGTCCAAGAAACTTCTGTCCTATTTTCTTCACCCCCACTCAAGCCCCCGTGGATTCTCTAAAATATTTTATAAAATACTGCACTTCAGGATGGTTTAATAGGTTAATGAAAGTACTAGGGGAAAAAGGAATGGGGGTAAAGGGACAAATACATTCGAGAAACTCAGGGTTCCAAGAGTTTTGCAAATCTCTTATTGAAGGACTTCTCAGAGCATTTAGTGTGCTAATATTATTTGTAAATATCTAAGGCTGTGGTTCTTCTCCCAGACAGTACCTTAGAGTCACCAGGGGAGCCATATGAAAACACTCATTGAGGCTGGGCAAGGTGGCTCACACCTGTAATCCCAGCACTTTGGGAGGTCGAGGCAGGCGGATCATGAGGTCAAAAGATCGAGACCATTCTGGCCAACATAGTGAAACCCCAGCTCTACTAAGAATACAAAGATTAGCTAGGCATGGTGGTGCACCCCTGTAGTGTCAGCTACTTGGGAAGCTGAGGCAGGAGAACTGCTTGACCCTAGGAGTCGGAGGTTGCAATGAGCTGACATTGTGCCACTGCACTCCAGTCGGGGCAAAAAGAGCAAGACTCCATCTCAAAAAAAAAAAAAAAGAAAAGAAAGAAAAGAAAACACTGATTGATCTCTAGGCTCCACCCTATTCCAATTAAACCAGAATCTCTTGAGGTACAACTCAAACATTGATTTTTTTTTTTTTAAGTTTTCCAGGTGATTGGAAGTGCTGCCAAGGCTGAGGACTCAGTTCCATGGAGGAGAGTGGTGTATAATTGCTGACTTACTTTATTTAACAGAGTACCTGATTAATGTCTCATGTGGTAAGCTATAGCTTAGAAAATAGTGAGACAAACTGTCAAAATATCTCTAAAATTCCAATAGTTTAGGCCCAGCTTACATCTGCTAGACTGCTTTGTGGCCCAAGAAGTAGAAAAAAAAAATTCCCTTGTCAGATTGAAATATTTTTCCTTCAAAACTGTTATTGCTTTCTCCAGAATTTTTATGTTGAATTTAAAAACTATACTGCTGAATTTTACAAGAAGAATCCTGATCTACATGTCACAGTTCTGAGCTGCCCCTTGGTATGTGCTAGACAGCCAGAACAAGAATCTTTACTACATGAAGCAAAGCAACAACGAAAAACACCAGGATTTTATATTGAAATAGACCTACTTAAATGTCAGGAAGCTCAGTAGGGGTCAAGACCCCATAGAAACATACATACATGTATACACATCCCAATGCATAAAATTCCTCTGCAGATACAGGATTTCAAACTTTATTTTTCCTATTTTTAATTTTTTTAGAGATGAGATTTCACTCCTAGCCTCAACGGATCCTCTCACCCCCGCCTCCTGAGTACCTGGGATTATAGGCATGAACCACTGTGCCCAGCTAAAGACATCACTTTAAAGAAATGACCTCTCAAAGCTAATGGGCCATGAGCAATTCTGTTAAATGAAGATAATTTTGAAAATTGAGATATAATTAATGTATCATAAAATTCACTCTTTTAAAGTATACAATTCAAGAAATGAAATTAATTTGAGATATTCTGAGCCTCTCTTTCCTCATCCATAGAATGGCTATAATATCACCAACCATCAGCAGAGACTGGTGTGAGATTAAATGATATAAGGCCACAAAGTACCCTGCATATCATCAGAGCTCAGGAAATTAACTTCTCTTCTCTACAGAGAACACAAGCTTCTCATTGTAACAGAACCTTTTTTGAGGGCAAGGATGAGAACTCTTTCATGCAGTTGGTGATGGGCTGGAATGAGTATCCTGAAAACACTGCTTGCCTCATTCCTTCACAAGCTAAAAGAAGCAAGAAAGGGCTGGAAGCCTGAAACCCAGGATGTTACCTGCAATATAGCGAATCTCAGGTAAGCACATCATGAGATCAGGAAAGCGGTTCGGCTGATGTGTATATTTATATTCAGTAAAATCCTGGCAAATGTACCAGTATCGTTTGTTCAACTGTTCCAGCTGTGAGGCACTGGTCAGACCTCTGATATCTGTGAAAGAAAAAACCACACAGGGAATGGGACGGGCTTTCTAATGTGGAAGAAAAACCAACTCCTTTAATAAGTGCATCTTTCAACTAAGTTACTAAACACTGTCACAACAGGGGATCTTCTCTGATAGGGAGGAACTAAGCTCTGCATAAGGGAAAAGAAATGAGAGAGAGGAAAAAATAATACAGAGGACAGTAAGCAGACAGAGTCCCTCAAGGGCTAGGGCTTCTCTCAGCTTCATACCAAACTCCCCAAACAACCAGAAAACACTAAACAAATGACTGAATAACCTACCTTTCCAAATTTATCCTTCATAATGTCTTCAAATTTGCCTTTCGCTGGAACCAATCAAAAACCTTGCTGATACCCATACATTCATGCTTGTAACACACACACACACACACACACACACACACACACACACACAACCACTTCCTATGTGCTTCTGTTCTTAATCTTCCTCCTGGGCTGTCCCTCCATTTTTTTTTTTGACAGGGTCTTGCTCCGCCCCCTAGGCTGGAGTGCAGTGGTGCGATCAACAGCTCACTACAGCATCCATCTCCTGGCTCAAGAGTTTCTCCCACCTCAGCCTCCTGAGAAGCTAGGACTACAGGTGTGTGCCATCATGCTCAACTAATTTTTTTAATTTTCTGCAGAGATGGGGTCTATGTTGCTTGGGTTGGTCTCAAACTCCTGGGTTGAAGTGATCCTCCTGCCTTGGCCTCTCCAAGTGTTGAAATTACAGGCATGAGCCGCTGTGCCTGGCCCCTCCATATTTTCTCTCTCCTGTCTCTCTCTCTCTCTCTCTCTCTCTCTATATATATATACACACACACACACACACACACACACACACACACACACACCCCTTTTTTATATATAGAATATGAACAAAAATATTCTATATGTAAATCTTACCCAGCCTTTGAGGCCCAGCTCAGATTTCTCCTCCTTCAAGAAGTTGCTACTGCTCTCCCCAATCTGAGGCGCAAGCAATATGTCAAGTGCCATCAGAATGCATACTTCTTGAGGCCAGAGATCTGGGGTCTAAGTTTTTTCAATGTCTTTTATGCTCAGCACAGGGCTTGGCCTAAGATAGGCATGCAGAACACCAGATAAATAAATGGATGAATTGTGCAGAAGCAGGAGGAGAGTGGGCAAAGAGGAGAGGAGCTCTGGAGTGGAGACAGGACACAGGACGAGGGCACCTGCAATGCCACAGGCAGCAGAACAGCCCAGTGCCGCTATGGGAGCAGAGTACTCATTAGCTACTTTGGAAAAAAAGAGAATACAAACCTCCTCCCTATGCTGGTTTTACAGGCAGCTGCCAAGTGCCACTTTGCAGGTAATATTCCACATAAATCACATCGACATTCTTTTCATTAAAAGCCAAGCTTGATATGTGTGTGTGTGTGTGTGTGTGCGCGCGCGTGCACCCCATTAAAAGCCATGCTTGTGTGTGTGTGTGCACCCCATTAAAAGCCATGCTTGGGGGGCGTGTGTGTGTATTTGTGCACCCCATTAAAAGCCATGCTTGGGGTGTGTGTGTGTGTGTGTATTTGTGCACCCCATTAAAAGCCATGCTTGGTGCGTGTGTGTACTTGTGCACCCCACTAAATGCCATGCTTGGGGTGTGTGTATTTGTGCACCCCATTAAAAGCCATGCTTGGGTGTGTGTATCTGTGTGTATTTGTGCACCCCATTAAAAGCTATACTTAGTGTATTTGTACACCCCGTTAAAAGCCATGCTTGGGGTGTGTGTATTTGTGCACCCCATTAAAAGCCATGCTTGGGGTGTATTTGTGCACCCCATTAAAAGCCATGCTTGGGAGGTGTGTGTGTGGGGGTGTGTATTTGTGCACCCCATTAAAAGCCATGCTTGGGGTGTGTGTGTGTGTGTGGGTGTGGGTGTGTATCTGTGTGTATTTGTGCATCCCTGCTCTGCCCTGAAGGGGCTGTCAGAACCACTGCCAGCCTGTCAGAGGCCTTATCTCCAACAGTTTCATCAGTCACTCTGTTCTTCTTCAGTCACTGGTAAACTTGGTACATATTTAAAATGACGCATGTACTGTCCTTGGTGTCTGTGTGTAAATGCATTAAAACTGACTAAACAAAGCAAATCCTTTTCCTTCCTCTATGAGTTATAGAGATTGTGGCATTTAGGTCTGAAGAAAAAAAATCCAAAGTGTTCTCTCATTCCCAGTGCTATAAAGGGTCAGGGTGATGACAAGGGGTCCACAGGTCTTCCAGGATTGAAACCCAGATGGTACGATGGATTCTGTGTGACAATCCTGAGGGTAAGGAGGGGTGAAACCGGAGGGCAAATACTCACTGCCCCCTACACCCCCTACCAAGGCAAAGGTCCCTTTTGCCCATTCCAGCCACTCACCTTGATTTAGGAAGTTAATTGCTTTCATGCAAGCATACTCCTCATTGCTGACCTTTAGCTGATGGAACTTGTGATAGAGGTAGATGAGCCGCTCAATCACCTCCATCCCTTCGTCACTAAATCTGGGGAACAGACACAGGTGTTAACAGTGGGCTGTGACACCAGTAGGGACCAGGAAAGGGCAGCCAGAGAGCTCATGCAGCTCCTTCAGGTATCTAAGACAGGAAACAGGCTGAGCTTGGGGGAAATTGGATCCAAAGCCACTTGTGAAGTACAGGCAGATCCATTCTTTGTCTACAGGCCAACACAGCTCATGCAAGCTGCTTTTCCCAAGGCCAGGCAGGGTCAATCTAGGTTCAAACTCATCTCCATCACACACAGGCTATGAGATCTTGGCAAGGTCACCTGACCCCTCTATGCTTTGAGGAACTTGCATTCTTGGGCTAACAAGAGCCAAAGAAGGTCTGGGTTACAGAGATTGTGGCATTTAGGTTTGAAGAAAAAAAAATAATAAATGTGTAAATGTCTGGAGAAGTACAACATTATTAAGATACAGCTATTGTTGAGACGCAGCCTCTGGCATCAATGGCAGCTACCATGGTGACTCTATGTGAGCCTCTACCACACTCCAAGAAAAGCTGCTGATTGTATTTGCTTATGTTAACTGCTTCCAGCAGAGCTGAGGTTATGCACAATGAAAATTGTTATTGGCATCCCTGAATTTGATGGGAGGGAGTAAAATGTTAACTGAGTTTCTGTATCATGCCAGCCTCTGTGGTTACATGAGTCACTTTATGAGCGTTATCATGTTTAATCCTCTCAACCCTATGACCTGGGTGACATAATCATCACCAATGTACAGATGAGCACCTGAAGTTCAAAGAAGGGAGGGGTCTGGTCTACAAATACACAGTTAATTGGTGACAGAGTGGGAACCTAGAACCTGAACCCAAGGCCTTGGTTTTTCCAATATCTAGGGTGGTGTACCCTAGCAGAGGGGCTCGAAGCCCCCATACTCCTTACTTTGGGCTAGGAGTGAGCTCTCTGGAGAAAGACCAACTTTTAGGCAACAGAGCCCCAGGCTAGGTCCCCCCAGGGGATTAATGTTTTGGGTATACTTCACACCAGAGATGGAGAGACCATCAAACCAAGGAGGCAAACACTTAACCAGGAAGCAGGAATTTACAAAAGATGAGGTCAAGTCTGGCCTGAGTCATTCAAGCAGTGGACTAGCTAGTGGGTGGAGGGTCCCAGAAGGCCTGATATAACTCAGTCACAAGGAGAAGATTCTTAGCTTCAGGTCTGCTTCCTGGTGACATCCTCAGATGTGCACACTAAAACCCTGTGCCAGGCCAACAAGGCCCTATCTGAGTAGGGTCCACAACACCTGGGGATGAACTATTGCTTTCTGGACTCTACTGCTTTGTGTGTTAACTCTGAAGGCTTTGTAGGCTTTGACTTCCTGGACAAGCAGGACACTTTCTCTTGCTTGGAGAAAGCCTGGCTCTGGTTGGGGCCAGAGGTCCCTGCCCTTTTTAAGCATGAAGGGGAGCCTCAGCAGCAGTGGGTTCCACCAACTGCATCAAAAATATTTTTCTAAAAAACTTTAACCCTCCAACAATTATTATCCAACAATAAAAAATAAGACAAATTTAAAAATACAGAATAATGGCTGGGTGTGGTGGCTTACACCTGTAGTCCCAGCACTTTGGGAGGCTGAGGTGGGAGGATCACCTGAGCGTGGGAGGTTGAGGCTGCAGTGAGCTATGACTGTACCACCACACTATAGCCTGGGCAATAGAGGGAGACCCTGTCTCAAAATATAAAACAAACAAAAAAACCAATCAACCAAAAACCCCCCAAAATCCCCCACAAACCAAAACCAATGTAATAACTATTACAAAAAGAAACAAACAAAAATTCCCCCCCAACCAAAACCAATGTAATCACTCTTTGCATGGCATTTACATCATTTATATTCCATCAGGTATTCGAAGAATTCTAGAGCTGATTTAAAATATGCAGCAAGATATGCGTAGGTTATATGCTAATATTGCACCATTTTATATAAAAGACTTCAATATCTACAGATTTTGGTATCCATGGGGGTCTTGGAAATAATCCTCCACGGATACTGAGAGATGACTGACTGTACATGCAATCTGCAACTCTGACCTTCGGCCTTGGCATGGCTCCCAGTATAAGCTGGGGTTTCTTTCAGTTTGCTGATTTGAGCTACTATGGCTGACTCAGTTTCTCTGAACCTGGTCTAATGGCTTTTACAACTTTACTGATACATTCCAATCCTGGCTGATAGACAGATTCATATTGAATAACCACAATAACCACCATTCTATAATACTGTTTCTACCATTCTACCATTTGTTGAGTGTTTGCTATCTGCCAGGCACATTAAGTATTCCACATACATTTAATCCTATTGATAGTCCCAATAAATTCACAGAATGGATACGAATCACAACCCCCTTTGTTCACATATGGAAATGAAGGCTCAGGGAGGATATTTACTGAGTCTCTATTATGTGCTAGGCTTTTTCATACACATTCTTACACTTGACCCTCCTGATAACCTGGAAGGATACTATGCGCCTCACCTCCATGTTAGGGATGGAGAAGCAGAAAAAGAGGTGACTAGTCCAAGGCTGCATGGAAACTAAATGGGAGTGGTGGTAAGGCCAGGGTTCAAACTAGGTTTTCTAATTCCAAGACTATGGACTTAGTTCTAAGTACTATACTGCCTACCCCTGATCCTGTCTTGTTCTTAGCTGCTACCTGGAAAAGGCTAACTACATACTACCACTAGGGAACCTCAGGAGTGCTGTGCTCCCACAGCAACTCAGAGCAGGGCCCAGCCCTGGGAGGACATCAGGTCTGCTACAGTGCATAGTACTGCCCCTGCAGTGCCTCCAAGATGCTAAGACTTGCAGGAGGCGGTGATCCTGGGAGTAAGACCACTCTTCATCATAGTGCTCTGCTAGCTATTTACGTTCTGGAGAGGGGAAAAAAGGTCTTTACTGCCAATTTCCTTCATTCTCTGCCTGGAGAGGTAAGGAAATGGTAGAGGGCATAAAAAAGGAGGATGCAAGGGGAGAGGCAGTGTCAGCATCTGTCTGGTGACCGAGTCGTGTAGCAAGCAAAGATAATGCTCTGTCCTTTAATCAGCAACCCCTTGCCCCAAGTGTTCACTCTGGCACTGCAGACCCTGCAGGTGTGTGGCTATCAGCCAGACACTTAGCCAGGAGTGCCAAACCTCTTCCTGGCTGAGTCCTGACCTGAGGGACACAAAGGAGTTCCCAAGTGCCTAGCCTGTCCATACGCCCTAAATCTGCCCTTTCTCTTGGGGACGGCACATCCCTCTTTTCCTAACATTTCTACAACAGGGAGACACCATGGACCCCCAGCAGTGGTGGGGGCTGGCAGCCAGCCCAGCAGCCCCCACTCAGTCTCCACAGCCTGACTGCAAAGCTTTCCTCCACACCCCGCATCCCACCCCTTGATAAACAAAGTTGTTCTCTGTTCCATGGGCCTGCAGCCGTGCCTCCTCCACATCTGCCCACTCCACAGTTCTAATGCCCCATATTCACTGTCTACAAATTATCAGCATTCAAAGCCAGAGAGCTGGACAAACACACCCATTCTTCTTCTAGGTTCCCATTACACAAGCATGCTGGGGCAAGGAAAACATTCCTGCCAGGATCCCCCAAACCACTGGACCATTCAGTCTGCAATTGAAGCTGACACTATGTAAGTTATGTCCCATTAAGTGGACTGAGAGACCCAGTTGTCTCTTTTTCATTCATCTAAATGCACCTACTCCCAGGAGTGACTATGAGCCACAGCCTTAGAGAAACTGCCTTCTCAGCACCCATGTACAGACTCCAAGATGAAAACTAAGACTGTAGTTTCAGGACAAATTCCAGAAAGTCAAACCTTTTGAAAATGCTCTGGGAAAATAAGAATTTAGTATAAAGCAATGTTAAAGAGGCTGGGCATTGGAGCACAACAGATACAGGTGATAAACTTAGCTCCATCTCTCTCTTGCTTTGTAGCCTTTTTACCTCTCTGAAACTCATGCTCTTCATCTCTAGAATGGGGATAATATTAGTGCCAGTCACACAAGGTAGCAGTGAGAATTCAACAAATAATGTATGTAAGGCACTTAAGATAGAACTTGGCATAATAAAATAGTTGTCAGCTGTTATCATTACAAATAGCATCATCATCATCATCTCTCCCATTATTGTAGCAAAAATAAACATCTGTTTCTTGAGCCTTATGGTTAGGCAGGGAAGCTGGGAGGCAACTTTCCAGAGATCTGGCAAAATGGGGCTGGTGCTCATGAGATAGAAGTGCCCATTAAAGCCCATCTAGCTCAAGGCATCCTCTCCTGAGAGGAGTCTTGATTAGGGCCAGGAGCAGTCACTGGCTGGTGCTACAATCTGCTTTAAATCAAATTCACCCGGTTCACTGTCTGATAACAGTCTGATTAAGGAATATGGGCACCATAAATTTGATTCAATATTTGAGAAGAGAAAAGGAGGTGGTCATGTATCATCTGGGAAAAGCCGTTCCATGACAGCAGGAACTCACTTGCACTCAAGAGTTGTGAAGAAGTAAAGGCCGTCTGGGGGAGTGGGAGCAAGGCAGTAGCAGGCAAGGTAGGAGAGCACTACGGCCAATTACAGACTCCACAGCCTGGGTTTCCAGCAGAGCGGTTACTGCTTTCCAGTGGTTAGCCTGATTCTAGAGGTTCTTCCACTTCCTACGACCTCCTAGGCAGTCCTATACGCCTCTGAGACCCCACAGACACCTAAACCAAAGAGTTGCTCATCTCCATCCTGTTCTTCCCTGCTCCTTCTTCCTAGCTAAGAAAATTGGTGCCTACCTGCCTCGTCAGTCCAAAAACACCAGCAGCATCATCAACATTTTCCACTCACTGAAGTCCCACTGACTGTCTCCTTGACGTCTCTTGGCTTTGTGCTTCCCTCTGTCTCCACAATCACTGCTGCCTTGTCCAGGCCTTGTTCTCTTTCACCTAGGCTATGGAACAGTCTCCTTCCTGCTCAGCGCTGTGCTCCAGTCTTGTCCAGGCCAATCCATCCTGAACTTTACTGCCACAGAGATCTTTCTAAAATGTAACCTGTGTAATTCTTCCACTTAAAAACTTCCCAAGATTTAATACTATTTACACGACAAACCCCAAATTATTTAGATTGACATTTGAGCACTTTTATGACCTGTCTTGACCGTATCTCTCTCTAGTCAATTCTCCCCTCATTTCTCTGTCTCTCTTAGATACATACATTCTCTTTATACCTTAAATCCACAGAATTGTTTTTGATTCCCTGCACATAGCAATCATCTAGGATCTCTAAGTTCTAGGACTTTGTGTTATCTCCTGCCTTCCTTCTTGTTCTCTACTAGGGGCCTAGAAATTCCCACTCAAGGTGTAGCTCAAATGTCTGATCCTCTGGTAAGCCTTCCCTGGCCCTGCACACAGAGGTACTCAGTCCACAGTCTATGCTTGTACAGTTCTCTTCATATGCCCCTCCATCTCCACCAACACAACCCTGCACTGTAAGTTGTGTCTGCTCCTTTTTGCCTCCCAGTCCCCTAAATGAAGGATAGGGACTGAATCAGAAACCATGTCTGCATCACCTGTGATCCCAACTTCCTCCCCACAAAACACACAATCATAGATACTCAGTAAATGGTCATGGAATCAGAACTAACATGTTTAACTGTTATTTTTCCATCGATGGATTCCACAGTAGAGTCCCAACAACAAATCCATTTCCTATTCTCAGAACCCACTTGACAGCTCAGCAGCAACATATGTTCTAAAACAGCAATGTTCAATAAAACTTTATGTGATGATAAAAATGATCTTTATTTGTACTAGTAGCCACTAGCCCTGTGGCTACTGAGTGCTGGAAATGTGGCTGGTGAAAATGAGAACTAAATTTCTAATTTCAATTAATTTACATTTTAAAAGCCACGTGAGGCTAGTGGCTACTATAGTGAATGGTACAGCTTTAGATCCTCCTTGATTAGAAAAATTCCAACGTAGTAGGAAGGAAACGTTTCCTCACTACTTCAGCTGTTATTGACCTTTGCCTTGGTCTTGGGGTTTAAGGGACTGGCTACAGTGAGATGGGATGCCTTATGAAGCTCAAAGCCAAAGAGAACCTGTACTGCCAGTGACCCCTGCCTACTGCAGAGGGCCCGGGCAAACCTATTACTTGGGAGTGGAGTCCAAAGGCTGATGCTGTAGCCTCAGGCTGCACTCGTAGATTCCAGCACCTAGAGAGGCTGGGCTCCCTGGGCCAGCTCCGCAAACCCTGACAACATCAGAGCAGGCTGACTGCTATCCAAACACCCCTATGGAGCAGAGTTATGGAGTAGGAGACAGGAATTTGATGGAAACAATGAATTAGAAGCTCTGGACAAGGGGTTAGGTCATCTGCAAAATCAGATAGCTCTGTTTACCAGACAAAGTGTCAGCTGGGTTCAAAACGCTGTCATTTATAGATCACACTGAAGCCAGTAAGCATCATTAATAAGGAAATATTAGAAAACAAGGGGAGAGAGTGGGCAAGCTGGCTCCTCCCTCCCCTAGCTGTGCCAAGGGCCCTTGCAGGTCTTGGAGTACTGCTTTTCGTTTGAGCCTTGGCTTGTCTCTTTTTTTTTTTTTTTTTTTTGAGACGGAGTTTCGCTCTTGTTACCCAGGCTGGAGTGCAATGGCACGATCTTGGCTCACCGCAACCTCCGCCTCCTGGGTTCAAGCAATTCTCCTGCCTCAGCCTCCTGAGTAGCTGGGATTACAGGCACGTGCCACCATGCCCAGCTAATTTTTTGTATTTTTAGTAGAGACGGGGTTTCACCATGTTGACCAGGATGGTCTCGATCTCTTGACCTCGTGATCCACCCGCCTCGGCCTCCCAAAGTGCTGGGATTACAGGCTTGAGCCACCACACCCGGCCTGCCTTGGCTTGTCTTAATGCCACAACTAGGTGGCGGGGGGGAGATGGACCCCCATTCTGTGAAGAAAACTGTGAAGGCTGCTACTTTCTACTCTCCAGCTTTCATGGAGGGGGGCACCTTTTCTTTTCTTCTTGGTGCCCTGGAATCCCATGACTTCCAATATTTTGAACTGTACAATAAAAGTCATTTATTGAAATGTCTATTTAAATACAAATTAAGCATTATAAGACTTTTCATATGGATAAATTAGCAAGCCAGAAAGTCATCTCAGCAGATCATTTGTCCTGATTTTGGAGTCAGAAAATATGGTCACCCTGTGCTCCAGTTCTGCAGAGTAAATGAGTAAAAAGTGTGCTTGGACAGGCCCCAGAGCAGCAGGGAGAGGACCCACTCTGGACAGGGAGGCTGTAAGGATACTGGTCAGCTGGGATAAAATTTTATGACAGAAAATGACTAACAGAACAGCTCAGTCTTTTAGTCCCATGCTTTCAACATCTCACCACATCTCAGACAGAATCAAAGAAACTAAGCTTTTCAGTCAGGCAGGCATATGCTCAAATCTATGGCTCTGCATTCAAATCCCAAACCCTTAAGGGGAGGTCTCTCTGAACTGCAGTTTTCTCATCTATAAAATAGGCACAAACACCTATGAGGCTGGAGGCTGTGAGAAAGAAAGCAGACAATCAAAAATATCTACCTAGTGCACACAATAGGTACTAAAATCACCTCTAGGTCTCTTTCTTGGATTGTAAACTCCAGTTCAAAGCCCTCTTACCTTGTAGGCAGAATTCAGATTTTTGTTTCCTGGATGCGTTATCTCAGAAATCCAAGTATAATACAAATCAGCTGGGCACAGTGGCTCACGCCTGTAATCCCAACACTTTGAGAGGCTGAGATGGGTGGATCACTTGAGATCAGGAGTTGTAGACCAGCCTGGCCAACATGGTGAAACCCCATCTCTAATAAAAATATAAAAATTAGCCAGGCGTGGTGGCGGGTGCCTGTAATCCCAATTACTTGAGAGGCTGAAGCAGGAGAATCACTTGAACCCAGGAGGTGGAGGTTGCAGTTGAGCCGAGACTGAGCCACTGCACTCCAGCCTGGGTGACAGAGTGAGACTTCGTCTCAAAAAATAAATTAATTTAAAAAAAATTACAGCTGCCAAGCACAGTGGCTCACACCTGTCATCCCAGCACTCTGGGAGGCTGAGGCGGGAGGATCACCTGAGGTCAGGAGATAGAGACCATCCTGGCCAACATGGTGAAACCCCATCTCTACTAAAAATACCAAAATTAGCTGGACGTGGTGGCGTGCACCTGGAGTCCCACCTACTCGGGAGGCTAAGGCAAGAGACTCACTGGAACCTAGGAGGCGGAGGTTGAAGTGAGCCGAGATTGTACCACTGCATTCAGCCTGGCGACACAGCGAGACACTCACTCTCTCTCTCTCTCTCTCTCTCTCTCTCTCTCTCCCTCCCTCACACACACACACACACAAACACACACGCTCTAAATAAATAAAATAAAAAATAAAAATAAATTACAGCTTAGCACTCTGCTAAGCTTGAATGTATAAGATTTATTCCTAAAAACCATCTTATTAGGGAAATTCTGTTATCACCCCATTTTACCAGTTCAGAACCTGAGGATCAGAAGCCGTGCCAAGGTCACAAATCTAGTCAGTGGCAGAGTGAGGGTTCAAACCCAGGCCTATGTGGTGCAATGCCTGCCCTCTGAAAGGCCAGGCGACTCTGCCTTGCAGGGATAACAATGGTTTGGTTGTTCGGGATTTCCTCCCCAGTCAGGAGCCCTCACCTGTGTAGTTCTTCATCAGAGGGTGAGTACTTGGCAGTGACATCAGCCAGCTCTCCAAAGATCTGCTTGCTGTAAACAGTGAGGGAGGATAGCAGGATTAGCTCCTGCCACGTAGAGCTCAAGAGGCACGTGTAATCCTTGATTGAGAGCTCGCAGAAGAAAGGCAGTTTCTTGATCCAGGCAATCTGTCTAAAGAGCAGCTCGTCGGCCAGGCGGCAAAGCAGGGCAAATAGTTCTGCCTGTGTCACAGAGTATCTGAGGGGAAGGGACAGGGAAAGTCACTTCCATTGGCCAGAGGGTGAGGATGAGGGCACATAAAGAAGTTAGTCCCAAGGGCACAAAGGGTCCCTGGCAATGGGCTCCTTGCTCCATGCCCACGGTCTCCAGTTCTATCCAATGTGATTTTCTGATATAGGGGCAGGGCTGAGGCCAGTAGCAAGCCCAGGGTTGGAGAGGTGAGTCTGGTGAGGAAAGGCTGCTGAGGAAATAAAAGGCTTAGAAATGTGTGCAATTGGCTAGGCGCGGTGGCTCATGCCTGTAATCCCAGCATTTTGGGAGGCCGAAGGCAGGTGGATCATTTGAGGTCAGAAGTTCAAGACTAGCCTGGCCAACATGGTGAAACCCCGTCTCTACTAAAAGTACAAAAATTAGCCAGGAGTGGCAGCCTGTGCCTGTAATCCCAGCTATTTGGGAAGCTGAGGCAGGAGAATCACTTGAACCCAAGAGGCAGAGGTTTCAGTGAGCTACAGTGCCACTGCACGCCAGCCTGGGTGACAGAGCGAGACTATGTCTCAAAAAAAAAAAGTGTGCAATTGACAGGGAATATGACTTTTATTGTTGGTGTCCTCTGATGTTCCATGTCTTAGAGAAAATCCCAGTCACTCCTGTTCAAGTTTTAGCAATGGAATTCTAATTCTAATTCTGATGCCCACCCAACAAAGGAATTGGTACAAAAATAAGCCTCACATCCAGACCACTGAAGAGAACAGAACAAGTTCAGAAGCTTTCCCTGCTCTCACTCCACCCCCTGGTGGTGAGTTCAGGAACCAGGATTGCTCAGCCTTTCCTTTAAGCTAAAGCTGGGCAGAGTAGCAGGGCATCTCTCAACTCTGGAATAAAAAGGGCCTCTGAGACCACAGACCCAGGAGTTCCAGCTTTCTTTCTCTCAAGGCCCCTTGGCAACACTTTTCCTCACACTCCTCCATTTAACTTTTTTTTGTGTGTGTGAGACAGAGTCTTGCTCTGTTGCCAAGAGCTAGAGTGCAGTGGTGCAATCTTGGCTCACTGCAACCTCCACCTCCCAGGTTCAAGTGATTCTCCTGCCTCAGCCTCCCGAGTAGCTGGGTTTACAGGTGCATGCCATCATGCCCAGCTAACTTTTGTATTTTTAGTACAGACATGGTTTCTCCATGTTGGCCAGGGTGATCTCAAACTCCTGACCTTGTGATCTGCCCACCTATACCTCCCAAAGTGCTGGGATTACAGGCATGAGCCACCAGGCCCAGCTTCCTACATCTAGATTTATAAAGGGTTTGTGTGGCCTCCTTGTGGGTGAATAGTTTAATCTCCTCTTCTGAAACTGGAGACTAGCTTAAGAAACCTTCCTGGGAGGTCTAAGCATGGTAACACTCAAACTGCTTATGCTCTAGGCCAAAGGAGTAATGGATGCAGCAATGGGTAGACCAAAGGCTGAATTATCATCTCCTCAGGTAGAGCTGACTAAAGACCGAAAGAATATTCCTTCTATCCACTCAAGCCTGCACCTAAAGTGATGACGTGCCACCATCCTAGCCATGGGGATGTTGGTGAGGGTTGCAGACGGGCCACAACCAGCCAGGGCTTTGTGAAGGAGCCTATATTTGATAGATGCCTATCCCCAGAATTACTACTCATCTCTAGCCTGGAAGTGCTCAGATCCATCCCAGTACCTGGCTTACCCAGGCCCAAGCATAAACAAAGGCCCTTCTATCCTAATTCCATAGGAACTGAAAAGTAACCTCACCTCTATGAGAATAAAATACTTAAGGAAACAATAAGGGATCACTGGCTTCAAAGTTAAGCACGGGTTTGTCCTGAGGCTTGAGTCATTATCCCCCCAACTCATTCTGAAGCCAAAGGTATAGCAGCCAGGGACACAGGTGGGTGTGAGGGAGGGACATTTTGAGACTGCAAGGGGCCAGGAAGGGTGGAGCTCACTTACCCATCTTCAATCAACATGGGTGTGCCCAATGGCTCCAGGTCCTCAGCTGATAACAGCTGGTGAATCAGACTGTATGACTGGGGATCCAGGCTGCGAGCTTGTGGGGGCAGAAGTGGTGAGTGGCCAGAATAGCTAAAAAGGTGTGGTATGTATTGGTAATGTGGAGGCACAGACATTCCCATGTACTGTTCCCTGAATGCCATGAATCCATTTAGTTCCACAGATCTGCTGGAGAGAAAAGTCTTGCGTCAAACGGAGCCATGGCAAATCTAGTAATTACTCACAGGAAATGAGCCAGAAGGTGACTTGAGGTATTCTTTGGCCATCAGGTCTGTGTCTTCATCAAGCCAGGGGACAAAATTAATAGTTACATTCGTGTTTCTCCTACTGGATTCCCGTCTGTGAGACAAGGACTCTACACAAATATTGGGGTCACCATTGGACACTCAGTGCATGGCAGAGTAGGTGAATACTGGTTGAATGAATTCTTTGTGTAGGTGCCATGCCTAGAGAGTATTTTTAACAGATACTTGTAGACTATGATGGCAAAGTGGGCGTTTATATTACTGCTGGGAATTTCTCCTATAACTGGGGTTGGCAAATTTTGGCTTGTAGGCTAAATCCAGCCCACTGTCTATTTTGGCAAATGAAGTTCTACTGGAACACAGCAATGCTCACTGCTTCACACAGTGTCCATGGCCGCAGCTGTTCTCATACTAAAAAGGCAGAATGGAGAAGTGGAGATCCAAACCATCAGGCCTGGAAAGCTGAAATATTTACTATCTGGCCTTTGCAGAAAAAGTTTGTCAACCCATATCCTACAAGAAAGATTTCTGGAGAAAGGAAACCTTCCCTAATAGCTGAAGGCTCTACTTCACACTTGACAACTAACTAAAGATATGCTTGAACCAAGAGTTTCTAAGTTTGTATTTTCTGATAGCAGCAAATTTGACCGGCTTAAAAAGCCTTCGATGTTTCTTAAAATTTATAAAGTGAAAAACATTGACTCTTGTGAGGCAGAGAAATTATAGTTTTAGTTCAAAACTGTCAAGGAAGTTTATTTCAATGATAAATGAGGGAAAATAGACACATTTAAAATGTTATTCTGTTAGGTGAAGAATGCATGGGCATGGATAGAAGATACAGTACTTTATCAGTCTGCAGAAGAGACCACTGACATTTTCAAGGTCTTTAGCATAAAAGGGGCTGGGAAACACTGTTTTCAATCATCCTGACCCCTACTTCAAGAGTCTGAGGGAGCAACAGTACAATGGCTGAGACAGCCTGGCAGGGATACTCAGCCAGAGGTTTCTTGTGGGTCTTCCCTTGGTGGGGGATCCCTAAATGATTATCGTGGGTTTGCCTTGAAGCTCACCTGGAGGACAGTGTGGAGCCTGGTGAGGGCTGGTTGCTCTCTGAAGCCCTGTTCCCGGGGGAGCTGTGGTCACTGTCACCATGGTTGCTCCAGTGATTGGCCTCTTCCTCAAACTCCTGTCCGGACATGATCCTTTCGATCTCTTCTTCTGAAATCTTTTGACAAGGAATTGAGATACGTTAGACTGGGTGCTCAAGACGCTGTTCTTTCTTCAGGACTGAGAGCTTATTTAAATCTCATAGGATTTCCCAGAAACCTAGATTCCCTCTCCTCCACCCCCATACTCCGGGCCTTTCACTAATCTTAGGATGGCACAGCTTCCTTACTGGCACCATGGCCCTTTGTGGCCCTCCTCCTGCTCATTCACACTACTCTCAAGCCATGAAGCCTCTAGGTTCTTTCAACTCCTTTTTGTCCTTGAGGTTATTCTTTCCTAACCCTGAAATACCACTCCTCAATGACAATCTCCTACTGGCCCTTCAAGATCCAATTCGAATGTCACCTCCTGCCAGGTATGATGGCTCATGTCTGTAATCCCAACACTTTGGGAGTCTGAGGAGGGCAGATTGCTTGAGCCCAGGAGTTCAAGAGAAGCCTAGGCAACATGGTGAAACCCTGTCTCTACAAAAAATACAAAACTTAGCTGGGCATGATGGTGCATGCCGATATAGTCCCAAGCTACTCAGGAGACTGAGGCAAGAGATTCTGGCCTAAGCCCAGAAGACTGAGGCTGTAGTGAGCCACGATCGCACCAACCCACTCCAGATTCAGTGACAGCGCAAGACCCTGTCTCAAAAGAAGACAAAACCAAACCAGACCAAAAAAAACCCCCAAATGTCATCTCCTTTGTGAGGCTTTCTACCACCACATATAGGATACTTTCTTCAACTAATCGTGCTGCGAAAACTATATCCACACCCCCTCAAAGATGTTGAACCCTTATACCATTCACAAAAGTCAACCTCAGAATTGACTAAATATTTAAATGTAAGACATAAAACTAAAAAACTTGGAGAAAACACAGGGGAAAATCTTCATAACACTGGTCTTGGCAATGATTTCTTGGATATACCACCAAAAGTACAGATAACATAACAAAAACAGCCAAGTGTGACTACATCAAACTAAAGAGCTTCTGTGCAACCAAAGAAACAGTCAACAGGGTAAAAAGATACTCTATGAAATGGGAGAACACATTACCATATACATCTGATAAAGGGTCAACATCCACAATATACAAGGAACTCCCGTAACTCAATAACAAAAACAAAACAAAACAAAATCCATTGAAAAATGGACAAGAAACTTGAGTAGACATGTCTCCGAAGAATGGTCACATACAAATAGCCAACAGGTATATGAAAAGATGCTCAATATCAATTATCATCAGGAAAATGTAAACCAAAACTTGAAGATATTACCTCACTTCCGTTAGGATGTCTACTATATGTAAAAGAAAACAACAACAAGCCGGGCGCGGTGGCTCAAGCCTGTAATCCCAGCACTTTGGGAGGCCGAGGCGGGTGGATCACGAGGTCGAGAGATCGAGACCAACCTGGTCAACATGGTGAAACCCCGTCTCTACTAAAAATACAAAAAATTAGCTGGGCATGGTGGCGCGTGCCTGTAATCCCAGCTACTTAGGAGGCTGAGGCAGGAGAATTGCCTGAACCCAGGAGGCGGAGGTTGCAGTGAGCCGAGATCGCGCCATTGCACTCCAGCCTGGGTAACAAGAGCGAAACTCCGTCTCAAAAAAAAAAAAAAAAAGAAAACAACAACAACAAAAAACAGAAACAAACCAAAAAACCAGTCTGGAAAATAACAAGTGCTGGCAAGGATGTAAAGAAATGGAAACCCTCGTGCACTGTTAGTGGGAATGTAAAATGGTGTAATCACTATGGAAAACAGCATGGAGGTTCCTCAAAAAGTTAAAAATAGAACCACCATATGATCCAGCAATACCATCTATGGGTATTTATCCAAAAGAACTGAAATCAGGATTGTGAAGAGACACTTGCACTTCCACATTCACTGCAGCATTATTCAAAATAGTCAAGAAGTGAAAACAACGTGTCTGATGACAGAAATGCATAAGAAAATATGGTATAAACATAAAACACCTTTAAAAAATAAAGTGAAATAAACTAGCCACAGAAGCACAAATACTGCATGCTTCTACTTTATGAGACATCTAAAGTAGTAAAACTCTTACAAGCAGAAAGTGGAATGATGGCTGCCATGGGCAAAGGGAGAGGAAAATGAAGAATTGCTATCTAATGGGTATAGTATTTCAGTCATGTAAGATGAAAAAGTTTGAAAGATTTGCTGCACATGAGTGTGGATATAGTTAACAACACTGTACTGTATAATTAAAATTTTGTTTAAAAGGTAGATTTCATGTTATATGGTTTTTACTTTTACCATAATAAAAAAGAGCAGCTATTAGTCCAGACCAAAAAACCTAATATAAATTTATAAGACATATATATGACCTGAGTAACAAGAATAAAAATGGTTTAGAAAAAAAGAATAAATCCAGCAGAGTTGGGAGTCAACACAGCCTGACTGAATAAATGCTGTGCGCATGTGATAGGAAATCCCCCAAACATCATCGGTGTATGTCTCAAGACAATTCCAAACACCTTTCTTTCATTCCCTCACATTTAACCGGCTAAATCCTATCGATTTACGCAGCAAATAACTCTTAGGTCTATTATTTCCCCTCAATCTGCACAGCCATTGCTCTGCTTCAAACTATTATCTGTATCTCTTGCCCGTACTTCTGCAAATCCCTTCTAACTGCTTTCTCTCTCCCTCCATTTCACTCACCCTCACCTCACTCCTCACAAACCATTTCCACTGCTAGAATGACAAATCTAAATAAAACCTTTTAGTGGTTGCCTCTTGGCTCATATCAGTAACAGTAATAATTTTTTTAATTTATTTTTTTTTTTTGGTAGAGACAGGGTTTATCATGCTATGTTGCCCAGACTGGTTCTGAACTCCTGACCTCAAGTGATCTTCCTGCCTCAGCCACCCAAAGTGCTGGGAATACAGGTGGGTGCCAGTGCTCCTGGCCATTAATAATTCCAAAGCCATGCACTCTGCCTACTAGTGTGCCAAGGCATTCACCTGTTGGGCGGAAATAGATCCAATTTTCTACCCTCATGAAGTTCTTCCGCTGGCAAGTAAGAACAATGAGTAAGAACAAGTGGTATAGGCTGGCCCCACAAAGACTTTTCCTAAGGAACTATGTCAAAGAGAGGTGAAGGCCACTCCCTAATGAACTGATTCCAAATTCAAGGAATCTTCCTTATCTTCTGCCACTCCACTACATGTGCCCAACATTCCAGCCTAACTGAACAAACTCCTTGTCATAAAGATTCATCACTGGGTCTTTGCACAGTCTATTTTCTTGAGTGTCTCTGGTCCCCAACCATGGCACTAGCCCAAGCAGAATAGGTGCCCCTCTCTCTGTAGTCCCTGGGCATCCTCTGTTGCCTCTCACCTTACTATGATGTCTGTTGATCTATCTGTCTCTCCCATTAGACTAAGTTCATAGTATAGGGCTTGGAAGAGTAGGAGCTCAGTAAGCGTCTGTGGGACTGAATGGGGTATTATCATTCCTAGTCTACAGTAAGACATTAATACTCTGCTGATATATTTTTTAGATGACATGAACAGCAAATCAGTCTCGCTCATTTCTGCCAGGCTAAGTTATCTATAACCTTAAGGATTGATCAAAAAATCCTCTGGATGGTTCAGAATCATAACTGGGTTCACTGTCTGTAAATCTTTAGAAAAGGCTGAGGGATCACAAGAAGAGCTTTAATCATTAACTTATACATTTAAGATATTCTTTTTTTTTTTCTAGCCATGCATGAGCAATATTTAAGATTTTCAAAGCACTTTTACATCCAGGCTATAAAAGCAGTTTTACAGAAATGAAAGCAAAGATGGTTCTTGTGAGCAGCAGGTGAAAGAATCAAGGTGAGCAGTTTCAGGAACAGTAGAGCCCTGGGCTTCCAGGATGGACCACAGAGACTGAGGCCTAGAACTCACCTGGACTGGCCCAATGCTCTTATTCCGGCCTCCAGGCATGCCATCTTCTCTGATAGCTGGAAGGAAATAGAAGTCAAGAAAGGTAGTCAGAAGCACACTCACAGAAGTCTTAGCACAAAAAGAGAACTTACTTGGACAAAAGCAAAAGGCAGTAATTGGCAAAGCCAAGATTAAAACACAGGTCCTTCTGGACCCAAAGCACACAATTCTATTATTCCAGGCTCCTTCATAGGCAGCAGTATTTTGGGGTTCTCAAGGCACTGCATACATACTACACACACTATGTACATTCAGTATGTTTAAAAAAGGTGATAGCACTGTTTACTAGTCCTTCAGTTACAAACATCCTGCCAGGATGATGCATCTTAAGGTCTTAACAAATTCTAGGGGAGGGATAGAACATTTCCATTTTTAAATAAAAGTTTTTATTCCCAACCTAAGTTTAGGTTTGATTTGTAGAATCAGAACAGGTTTTTTGTTTTTTTCATTAATCAGAATTCTAAACTCAATGATTTCTCCCTGCAAAGGCAGTCAGTAGAGCACCTCTGTAGTTGAAGGAGCTTACCTAGCATTTTCTAACTATAAAAATCATCCTTTAAGTAGTATCATCCTCATTAAGAATAAAACTACTACTAATGTTATCATCACTGTTTATGGAACACTTAATATGGGGGCATAGAGAAGAACCCCTGGTTTGCAGATATAGTAGGACTGCAGTATTAGGCAAAGCTTTCTGGGAAAGAAAACTTCTGAAGTGAGTCTTAAAGATTAAGTAGGATTTAGGAAGGCAGAAAAAGAGTGCTCCAGGTTGAGCCAACAGTGTACAGAAAAGTATCAAGTTGAAGGTAAGAATAAACTCATTTTTCTAGAAACTTCCAAATGGTTTAATCTGACTAAAGCATATGTTGGGGAAGAGCAGCATGAGATAAAGGTGGAAAGGCCAATTGGGCCTAGGTCATAAACAGCCTTGAATGCCAGACTAAGGGTATAACGTTAGCTAAGGAGCTTGAGGATGAGAAGGAATGTAGAGGGGCACTGCGGTCATATCGAGATTTTTCAAAAATCTTTGTGACAGCCACTGTGGAGGGTAGCTTAGAAGGGGTTAAGGTTAACAATGACAAAAGATAAACTAACAACATTATGTAGCAGCAGGCCTTGCTAGGATATACCTGCCACTTAAAAAAAAAAAAATTGGGCCGGGCACGGTGGCTCAAGCCTGTAATCCCAGCACTTTGGGAGGCCGAGGCGGGTGGATCACAATGTCGAGAGATCGAGACCATCCTGGTCAACATGGTGAAACCCCGTCTCTACTAAAAATACAAAAAATTAGCTGGGCATGGTGGCACGTGCATGTAATTCCAGCTACTCAGGAGGCTGAGGCAGGAGAATTGCCTGAACCCAGGAGGCGGAGGTTGCGGTGAGCCGAGATCGCGCCATTGCACTCCAGCCTGGGTAACAAGAGCGAAACTCCGTCTCAAAAAAAAAAAAAAAAAAAAAAAAAAAAATTAACATAAGTAATCTCAAAAGTTCCTGAGGCAGGATTGATTGCCTTAAAAGGTGGGGGCTCCAAGCATAACCCTGTTTCTAGAGGTAACTAAAAGGCTGACAGGAAATTTAGAATTAGGTAAGTTAGGGTCCAAATCCTGTTTCTGCCTGGTCTGTATAATTATGAACAAGTTTCTTCACCTCTCTGGACTTCAGTTTACTGAAATGAAACGAGGAGTACTGGTACTTGTTTTATGTTCCATTATATAAAATGGTGTGGTTAAAATACCAACCCCTAGGGCCTGGCATGTAAAGTAAGCACTTAGCAACTAATCTTTCCCTCTCCCTAGCCTCTGAGTTAAAAATCCATGATTCTCTTCTTAACTTTGCTAGAGTCTTCATATTTTCTTCCACCAAGTGGAGGCAACATGGTTGGTCTGCTTTATAAAAAGTTGTTGTGAATGTAGAGTAAGAAACATAAATAGCCTATGTTAGAGCTAAATGTATGCTGCTTGCTTGCTGGGAGCTCTCTTTCAATCTAATTTCAAGATCTAAAAATCCTTACAATCACTTCTCTGCTGTTCCGTGATCAATGACAGTGTTTGGGTATTTCTATTTCCAATAATAACATCTGTCACTAGAATACAACACCCAATATATTAATAGTTCACTTTCACTGTCCTGGAGGTGTGAAAAGAACTCAACATACTTTACTTTTCATTTAAAGGGTCACAAGTCTTAAAGATTTACATCTTGCCAATCTCTTGTTCTAAAATTCAAAAGCTCATCTTCTTCTTTGACCGCCACCCAGAATAAGAAAACGCATACATGATAGTATTCTACTATGTGTTACATACATACTGTTCTCTGAGGTAAAATAACTCACGAGGAAATTATTAGTATCTCTCCCATTGAACAGATGAATCTAAGGCTCACAGAAATAAAGTATTTTGCAGGAAGAGACGGAAACTAAAGAGCAGAATCAGGGTTGGAACCCAAGCTATCAGACTTTAAGACCAGACTTCTTTCCACTACTGCTATGCATGCATCCTAGTAGAGAAACATAAGATACTTTTAGGGGTTTATAAACCCTTAATTATACATTTATTCTGATGTACACTAAAAATACTAACTTTCCACTCACTGAGGTGGTAAAAAATAGCCTTTAAAAATTAACTTTGATTTTTAAAAGCTATTTAAAGACTAATATAAACAGTAGTGCCCATTTAGAGATGATAAAATTGATCAAGATACCATGAAATTACCTGAAGTGTGGAGAATATAATGCACGACAGTGCCTCTGTTAAAAACAAAAACTTGGACCATATTTTCAAGCTTATAATGTTCTTACACATATGTATGTTACCTCATCTGATCCTCACAACAACCTTGGAAGGTGTAATATTCTCCCATACATTTTTGAGATGAGGAAACGGAGCTCAGAGACGTAAAAAGACTTGCTCAAGGTTACTCAGGGAAGAACTGACAGAGCTGGGGTTTCAATTTAGATCTTCTGATTCTAAAGCTGTGCTTGTTCCTTGATGCCACACTGAGCTAACAGGTTTTTCAGCAACGCTAAAGTCTATCTGGCAGTGATTTGGTTAAAGAGAACAAATGGGGCCAGGTGTGGTGGCTCATGTCTGTAACTCCAGCACTTTGGGAGGCTTAGGCGGGAGAATCACAAGGTCAGGAGTTCGAGACCCGTCTGGCCAATATGGTGAAACCCTGTAGCCAGGCGTGGTGGTGGGCACCTGTAGTCCCAGCTACTCAGGAGGCTGAGGCAGGAGAATTGCTTGAACCTGAAAGGTGGAGGTTGCAGTGAGCCGAGATTGCACCATTGCACTCCAGTCTGGGTGACAGAGTAAGACTCTGTCTCAAAAAAACAGAAATAAATGGTTCCTGTGTGCAATGTTACAGGAATGGTTCTGCTGTAACTCTTATCTAAGAAAGAGAATAGCACTAGCCATGGCTCTTCTATCTTCTTAGAAGGCATCACAAATACTTTTTCTGCTTTGGAACTCAGGCCTATCATTATTCATTTGCTTGGCACTAGGCAGTCAACAAAACCCAGAAACCATAAATAATAAGGCAATTACATCAAGGTCTTAAAAGATTTACATCTTGCCAATCAAAACCTGCTGATAGCACCTTTGGTGTATGGGCCAAATCTAAGCTCCTTAGCACGGCATTCAAGACCATCTATCATCTGGTTCTGGACCCCTCATCCTCATCTCTTGTCACAAATGCTATACCCTATCTATAGACAACTATTTGTTAGTCCTTGAACATGCCATTCTGTTTTACATAGTTCTGTCTCTGCATGTTGCCTATACTCAGAAACAAAGTAGAAAAGTTTGGCAACACCACCTCCCCTAAGTGACATCACCATAACCAAGTGATTCAAGTTAATACCACCAATAATGGGTAAACACTTACATCATGTGCTCTTGATATTATGGACTAAGAAGGACACAATATCATTTCTATGGCATTCTCACCAAAAATGCATAGAAAAGCCATTTTTGCATTTGTCAGCGATGAAACTGACAAGCCAAAATTGAAGGCTATTCTACAAAATACATGACCTATTTGCTTCAAAATCGGTAATGTTAATAAAGACAAAGACAGACTGAGGAACAATTCAGATTAAAAGAGACTAAAAAGACATAAAAACGTAATGTGATTCCCTGAATTGGCTTCTAGATAAAATAAAATTGCTATAAAAGACACTGGGATGACTGGCAAAAACGGCATAAGATCTGCTAATAAGATAGTACTGTGTCATGTTAAATTTCCTGATTTTGATAGCAGTACGGTGATTGGGAGAAGTAAGGGGAACACTGCCTATGCCTTACTCTCAGATGGCTAAGAAGTTGTGCACACGCAGGTGCACGCGCCCTTACTTACCTGTGGAAAGTGGGGAAGGCAGGAGAGACAGAGAGACAGAAGGAAGAGCAAGGGGGAGAGAAGGGGAGGGTAAATAGTAAAACAAATAGGATGATAAAGCAAAGGTGGCAAAATGTTAACAACTGGGGAATTTGGGTAAAAGGTATATGGGAATTCTTACTACTGCTGCACATTTTTTGTAAGCTTGAAATTATTTCAAAATAAAACAGAACAAAATTTTAAAGTCTTAATTAAAAGACAACAACAACCCAAAAACCCTGTGGCTGGGCATGGTGCTCACACCTATAGTCCCAGCACTTTGGTGGGAGGACTGCTTGAGCTCAGTTCAGCTCAGCTAAACTTGATACTCAGTTCAAGACCTGTCTGAGCAACACGGTGAAACTGGGTCTCTACCAAAAAAATGTTTGTAAAGAAAACGTAAAAAATGCAAAAAAAAGTTGGTAAGGAACATCAACTTTGAATTAAGATTCTACTCAACTGTTCTCCCTCCTGGAGGCTTCTCAGTGCTTCATGCAGACCTCTGTGTTGTGTCCCGGGGCACCTTCTACCCTGGTAAAGTGACATGGCGATGCCATAGGATCACTGTCTCACAATGCCTGAAAAGATACTCAGTTCTATATCCAAAGATGGGGGACAACAGAGAGCTGTCTAGCGCATAGGTGAAAAAGCCCCAGCCACAAATGGCAGCTGCACTTTTTTAATAGTTTTTTTGTTTGTTTGTTTGTTTGTTTTTAATTTTGAGGTAAGTTTAGACTTACAGAAGAGTTGCAAAAATAGTATGGGGAGTTCCCATATACTCTCCTCCTTTTAACATTTCATATAACCATGGCTAGTCATCAAAACTAGGAAATTAACTTTGGTACAAAACTACTAACCAAAGTAAGTACTTTATTTTGATTTCTCCAGTTGCTTCACTTCTATCTATTGTTCCAGAACACAGTCCAGGATCCCACACTGCATTTAGCTGTCATGCCTTCATAGTCTTCTCCAATCTGTGTCAGTTCATTCTTTCCTTGTTTTTTGTGACTTTAACACTTTTCAAATGGGTATTTTGTCGAATGTCAGTTATTTTCAAGACTGTCTCTCCACGTGGGCTTGTCTGTTTTCTCAGGATTAGACTGAGAGTGAACTTAGCCTCTGTGCGTGTATATATGTGTGCCCTTCTCAGCGTTTCATATTGGGGGTATATGCAATGTTGGTGTGTTTTATTGGTACTGTTCATCTTGATTACTTGGCTAAAGTCATGCCTGTCAGAATTCTCTAAATAAACCATTTTTCCCTTTATAATTACTATGTATTTGCAGACTATGCAAATATTCTGTTTCTGTTTACACTGAGGCCACTTATTTAGCATCCATTAGTGGATCTTGCTTGCAGAAGTTATTACTGTGATGTTCTAATGGTGATTTTTTTTTTCTTTTTTGGGTCTGTCACCCAGGCGGGAGTGCAATGGCATGATCTTGGCTCACTGCAACCTCCGCCTCCCAGGTTCAAGTGATCCTCCCACCTTAGCCTCCAGAGTAGCTGGGACTACAGACATGTGCCACCACACCCAGCTAATTTTTGTATTTTCTTTTGTAGAGATGGGGTGTCAGCATGTCGTCCAGGCTGGTTATGAACTCCCGGGCCTAAGCAATCCACCTGCTTTGGCCTCCCAAAGTGTTGGCATTACAGGCATGAACCACTGTGCCCAGCGCTAGTGGTGATTTTCTATTTCCCTCATCCCTTCTACATTTATATTCATATTTATATAGATGGAGTCACCTTGTGTTGCCCAGGCTGGTTGAACCCCAGGGCTCAAGTGATCCTCTTGCCTTGGCCTCCCAAAGTGCTGGTATTAGAAGTGTGAGCCACTACACCTGGCCTCCTTCTACATTTGTTAATCAGAATTCACTTAAGAGGAAGAACGATCACTTCTCTTTATTTTTTCACTTATTTCTTTCAGTATAAACTCATGGATATTTACTTCAGTCTTTGGGTTATAAACGAATCCTACAGTTATTGTTGCTCAAGTTGTTCCAGGGTTGGCCATCAGAAGCTCTTTCAGGTTGGCTTCTGTGCCCTTCGATATGCTTCCTTTAATTTTTTTAGAAAGTACTTCCTAACTTGCTGGCACCACAATATGCTACAGGATCATTTTATATTTCCCCTACCCCAGCCGTGGAATTGATTAGCTCTCCAATGAGTCTCACTCCTTTCATTGATATTTGGAAGCCAAGATCTGGGTGCTGGGTGTGCTCATTGCTCCTGGGTCTCTGCTTCCAGCCCCTCTCAGTGGCTAGAGCTTGGAAATATACATATGTGTACTAACTCACCTACCCACACACATATCTATACATTTAAAAATCTATCTATCTAAACATGAATACATATTGATACGCTGATTCCAATCTAGCACCAGGGGACTCACTCTAGCCTTCCCCTTGGCTGATTTATAACTTCTTTCTTTCTCCGATGTGAGAAATCTGATTCTTATTGTCCACAATGTATTTACTTGCTGGTTCCACTCTCTATTATACAAACGAAGTAGCGAAGTAGTGACAGAATTCCTAACACATAACCTTGAGAGAAACAAATTTTACAAACTAGAGTGCTTTGTTTGTATATAATTCTTTTTGTTTTTAGCTTTACAGTATACAGTAAAGCTAAAACATTTTCAAAGGTGAGCTCCTTTTTTCTGAAACCCCTTAAGTGTGGTTATGTGACTCATTTGTAACACCGGCTAGATTCATTCGTCACAGTGTGCATTCTTTCCCTCTGCCCTGTAACCCCCACAACATCCTGGCTGATTAAACAAATTTTCACATGTAGTAACATGTACTTTTTTTGTGGTGTAAAGTTCTATGGGTTTTGACAAATGCACGGAATTATGTGTCAACCACCATAGGTCCATACAGAATATTCCTTACCCCCAAAATACTCCCATCGTAACTGCAATTTTAATCCTGCTTTTGCAGCATCAACCAGGGGGTGGCAGGGTTTCTCTCCCTGACGCCGACTTCACCAGGCAACTGGGTCAGCCTGTTCTGCGTGCAAATAATCCTAAGGAGACAGCTCCCTATCCCTCCTACTCCATGTGTCTTTTGACTACGGTCAGAGGGGTTATGAGGTTAAGTTTAATCTTCCCTAAAAGAGGTGAGTTTTACTGGAAGCCTCAGAATCTCACACTCCAGCTGAATAAGCAGGATGATTACTCAGAGACAGTAGTCAAGAAGGCAATCTGTAATAACTAAGCTTTCCCCAGATATTCACAGTGAGGGCAACAAAGGGAGACAAGAAAAGTGGAGCCCAAAACCAAAGAGGGTAAGGGCAGGAAGACGACAGACTCTCTTCGCCACAGTGCTTGGTATTGGTGGCTGGAAAAGATTTTAGTAAGAGGTAACTGGCCGTAGGGAAGGGAAAAGATCTCTAAGTAGGGGAAAAAATCTGAGTACAGGCACAGCAGCATAAGGCATCCCTGAGGCACAGTGTCAGAAGACAAGTTAAAAAGAGAGGCAGGGGAAAAACTTGGTAACACTTCAAATGTCCTACTATGACATTCATCGTCCAGTAAACACAGGGCATTCCAATGTGTAAACAGCTACGTCGTATGGTAGACACGTGAAGCAGTATGTTGTTTGTGTGGTCAGGTACAAGCTCAGCTTAATAAAAAATTATAATCTAATAAATATTAACTGTCAACATAACCACCCCTAATCTAACTACTGCTAAGTCATTTTACCTCCCTAAGCTGCATCTGTAAATTGAGGATAATAGTTAATAACAGGGTTGTTCTGTATACTCCATGGTAGAATATATGGAGGGTACATAAATAAATGCTCAATAAGTATTAGTATATAAATAAGTTATAAACCACCTAAATTTATCTAAATACCTTTCCACATCTCTCTTACCTTTCTTCATGATGGGCAAGTGCTTAAAAGGTCCTTCTTATCTCATACACAATAAAACCAGTCTGAGTACATCTGGATGTCTGCATTCATAATGCTATAAAACCAGTTTGAACAGTTCACTATATCTGACTAAGCCCCTCATCCCTGAACACTGCTGCTATGAACCCTAAAACCTTGCTGGGTATTTTATATATGTTATCATACTTAATCTGGAAAAGAACACTTAAGAGTAAGTAACATGCCATCTTAAAGATAAGATAATTGAATATCAGAGATATAAGGTGAGCTTCCTAAGGTCTCAGAGCTAGTCTGTTTGCTGCTAGAGCCTCTCTTCTTTCTGCTGAATGGCACTGCTCTATTCTACTCTCCACCCTCCACGGGAATACCACTCTAGGCTTCTGACACTGGTCCTTCTCTCTTCTGTATCTAAGCTCTCTCTGTGGGTGATTTCACCTATGAACTACCAACTCTGTGCCAGCAGCTCCATGAAGCCTGTTTGCAGGCTTGACTTTTCACCTCAGTTCCAATCCTATATATCCAACTTCCTTGGTGGACATCTTTATGTGTCCTTTACAGGTACCTCAGGGCCAACATTTTGCCCCACCCTGCTTTTTCCTTTCTTTTCAGATGGTCTCATAGAGAAATCACCCTGCTTCCCCCATCCCCCCGCCCCCAGGAAGGCCATTACTTTTTTTCCCTTTTTTTTTTTTAACAGATGGGGTTTCTCTGTATTGGTCAGGCTGGTCTCAAACTCCTGACCTCAGGTGTTCCTCCTGCCTCGGCCTCCCAAAGAGCTGGGATCACAAGCATGAGCCACCACGCCCGGCCAGGCCATTACTCTTAATCCAAATCCTCAACTTCAACTTCTGGTGCTGCTCAATATTCAGTATGCCACCAGCTACTATCAGGTGAGTTTCTTCAATGTCTCTCTGTGCCATTCCTTCCCCACTTCCTTCAGATCCTTCAGATTTCCTTTTAGACTCTTCTAAAAACTTTCTAAGTGGCTTTTCTGTTTCCCCTGCCCAATTTATCCTTCAAAACTGCCCTTTGTATTCATCCTACTTCTAGTATGAATAAAACATCAGTTTATTCATATTATCTCAGGCTAATGGCTCTTGGGAAGCTTCTTAATAATTCCCAAAGTCCTCATCAACCCAAACACAGATTTCTGAGCATGCCCAGCCTCTGAGTACACCATGGTTCTAGCAAACAAAATGATACCACATTCAGAAATCTCCTACGTCACGCCTTTTCACCCAAAATGTCTACTTCCGTCATCATTCCTGAAATAACTAGTAAAGTACATTAATCCCTGTCAAGACCTGATTCTTCAGTGGGTTCTTGGTCACACAAGGCTTGTGCATTCACTCCCATAAAATCCTTAACATCTCACTAGTTTTTTTTCCTCCCATCTAGTTTAGAGGTTCTTGCAGGCAAGAATGGTTTGATTCATTTTGGGGTTGGAGTACAAAGTATAAGGCCTGTTATGTAGTGCAGGCTTGAGAAATAAGTAACTCCAAAGCATAACAGCTGACACTAAAGGTAAAGTGATGAATGAAAGATGGGCCATGAGAGCCATAAGCATCACTCACCCTTCCGGTTCATCCCCATCTGGAGGCATTTGAGCAGGCGGCAGTACTGGCACCTGTTCCTCTGCTTCCGAGACATGACACAGTTCTTGTCACGACTGCACCGATACACCCGTTTGTTGCAAATGCTCCGCTTGAAAAACCCTTTGCAGCCCTCACAGGAGATGATCCCATAGTGCAAGCCTGTAGCACGGTCCCCACAAATGAGACAGGTTCGTTGTTCAGTCCGATCATCTGGAACAGAAACTGAACATGTTCAAGTTAGAACACAGTAGAAATAATGGCTTTAAGCCTGCCATTCCTAAAGTGAGCAACTCTGCTCTGAGTAGATTAAGACCACCACTATCTCCAGGCTGAAGGGCGAACAGTGGGGACCCATCTTTGGAAACTTGTCCCAGGAACAGTCCCTGCATCTGTGGTTGCAGATACCACAACACAGTCTGCCTAAACTCTTCCTCCTGGGTTTCATCAATACTTGGATCAGTACCTAAAGCAGAACCCTAGAAAATATCTTTGACTCCTCTATCGCCCTCACCCTGCTCATCCATAAACCCATCAATTTTACCCTGCAGGAGCATGGTAAGAATTACTTAACATATATGTAAGTGCCTAACACATGCTATATAGCCAATACATTACAGCTGTAATTATTAGTAAGTAAGTTCTAACCACACCCAGCTAAGCCAGTCAGCCAGACATCCAGCCAATAAATATTTACTATGCAACTATTCTATCCCAGGAACTGCTGTAAGGCACAAATACAGCAGCGAACAAAAGTCCCTGGTAAAGTTTATACTCTAGCAGAACATCTATTCTGTGTCCAGGCCCTGTGCTAGGACATAAATAAATCATCATGATCCCCAGAGTCATGGAACTCACTGACCAGCAACAAACAAGTTACTCGAGGAGAAAATTCAGGATAGAATACAGCTCTCCACTTCCTCTTCCTTTAATCTGCATTTACTCAGGACGAAGCAACTGCTAAAGAGCAGGGGTACGACAAAAAAGTACCCTGTGAACTGTGATGTGAAGCTATGCCAAGAGGTGCAATAAACCACCAGGGAAGGTTCCAATCAGACACCATGACAAGAAATCAGATATCTGAACCTCACTCCTGAGTAAGATTCAAGGTATAATAATCAAGAACGTCATTATAGAGCCAGGTGTGATGGCACACACCTGTAGTCTTAGCTACTCAGGAGGCTGAAACAGGAGGACTGTTTGAGCCTAGGAGTTTGAGGCTGCAGTGAGCTATGACTGTACCACTGCACTCCACCTAGGTGGCAGCAAGACCATGTCTCTTAAAAAAGAGGTGGGGGGGGGGGCACATCATTATACCATGAATTAGAGAACTCTTATAATTAGAGAGATTCTAATTTGAACCCTAGCTCTGACACCAGCTGGGTGAACTATGGAAAAACTGATCTTCTTTACTTTTCAATTTCTCTCATCTGTTAAATGGTGATGATAATAATACCTATATCCCAGGGATAAAGTTCTCAACATAGTACGTGGGCTATAATAGACATTTGATAACTGTCAAAGTTATTATTTTCATTATTATTACTCTAGCAGCCCACATTTAATGTGATAATGACATTCCTGAAAAGAAAGGCATTCAAGGGCAATGTTAATGGAGGATCATGGTAGTATATATAGGAGAGATGCAGAGAAAGGAGGAGGCTTCCATTTCTGGAGCCCTCCTTATATGCCAACTTTGAGTCTTTATGATTGCCATCTGTAGTAAGCAGAATAATTGCAACTCACAGATAGCAGGTCCTAATCCATGGAACCTGTAAAATGCTACCTTATAAAGGAAAGGGTATTTGTAGATGTGATGAAATTAAGAATCTTGTGTTAGGGGGTTATTCTGGACTTTACAGATGGGCCCTAAATACATTCACAAGTGTCTTTGTAAGAGAGAGGCAGAGGGAGATTTGATAAAGATAGTAGAGAAGAAATACAGAACATGTAGAAGATATGGTGATATGAAGACTGAAGAAGAAACTGGCCAGGAACCAAGAAATGATGGCAGTCACCAGAAGCTGAAAGAGGCAAGAAACTGATTCTCCCCTAGAACTTCTGAAAGGAGTGTGGCTCTGCAAACACCTTCATTTCGGCCCACGGATACTAATTTTTTTTTTTTTTTTGAGATGGAGTTTCACTCTTGTTACCCAGGCTGGAGTGCAATGGTGCGATCTCGGCTCACCGCAACCTCCGCCCCCCGGGTTCAGGCAATTTTCCTGCCTCAGCCTCCCGAGTAGCTGGGATTACAGGTGTCTGCCACCACGCCCAATTAATTTTTGTATTTTAAGTAAGAATGGGGTTTCACCATGTTGGCCAGGCTGGTCTCGAACTCCTGAATTCAGGTGATCCAAGTGAATCACCAATATCAGAATTGGAATTCAACAACCTCTTCATAAAGCATTCCTATGGCATGCTGTGCAACATCTGGAACCAGAGCAAAGAATCTACAGAATGACAATCGAATACAGACCTGTTAAGAACCTGCTCATGTCATGTCTCGTAACACTGCTTGCTTTCCTCATGGTAGTTTTAAAAGGCCACAGTGAGAATAAAGATTAGAGGGCCATATTTCTTTAAGGAGCCTGCAGTCCTAGGACTGCTTCTCTGTCTGGCTACAGCTATTTTTACTGCCCGTCATATTCTGTTTCTGCAAAAAAGTGTCTATGTCTTGGACCAGGAACTAATTCAAAAGGGAGTTTCTCAATGGTACAAAAGAAAGGTTCTCTCCAGATCAATCTAGTAGCCCTTCAAAGAAGCATTTGGAAAACTTCTCTCCTAGCATGTGAAAAATAACGACAACAGAATCAGCTATTGTTAACTGAGCACTTAGGTGCTTATGCTCTGGCCAAGCACTTAACATACATTATTTTGCTGACTACTCACAATTATTCCTAAATGAGGTGCCCTCAACATTTTACAGATGAGGAAATGGAGGCCCATGAGGTGCTATACTCCCTAGTCATCCAGCTACTCAGGGAAGGCTGGAAGCCCCAAAAGTCTATGTTCCTAACCATTACATTCTTTGGCTATAGCAAGGCAAATCTATACATTCTACATGCAGGTAAGTCAGGCCCTTCCATGCTGAAAACCAACCAACCAACCAACCAACCAACCAACCAACCAACATACCTACTTACCTACCTAAAAAGCCAAGGTCCCCCTTTGTAAGTGAACAAACTAAAGTAAATGCCCCTAATCGTGCCTGGCCAGATGTCAGATATAGATTTCTGCATCTCCTATTGCAAAGAATTAGAAGGATATTTATAGCCTGTTTACATTCATTATCTCACTGGTACCAGGCCAAAGCAAGGGTTATTCTTATCTTATAGATAAGGCAAAAAACATTCAGTGAACACCAACTGTGTACCATGCAATGTGCAAGAAGTTTTTACATATACTATTTATTCACCTCTTCAACTGTGAGAAGTATTATCCCTGTATTACTGAATCTGGAATCTTAAGAGTTAGAAAGGGCCTAGAAATTGCCCTGAACAGATCTTTACCTGAGGCGTGAATTCCCTCCACAATGTTCCAAGACAGAGTTGCCCCATACTCTTACTTCCATGTCTCTAGTGACCCATAAGGCACTTCATTCCATTCATTCTATTTTTAGACAGTTCTAATGGTTCAAAAGCTTTTCTTTACATTGAGCCAAACCTGAAGCTTCCCCACTGGCCTGACTACTGTGCTCATGGGTTAAAAAAAACAAATATACAATCTAACCTAGCTCATATATAAACCATTTAGAGATTTAAAGATAATAGTGGAGTTTTGAGGCCTGGTGTGGTAGCTCATGCCTGTAATCCCAGCACTTTGGGAGGCCAAGGCAGGCGGATCACGAGGTCAAGAGATTGAGACCATCCTGACCAACATGGTGAAATCCCATCCCTACTAAAAATACAACAATTAGCTGGGCGTGGTGGTGCACACCTGTAGTCCCAGCTACTCGGGAGGCTGAACCCTGGGAGGAGGAGGTTGCAGTCAGCCAAGATTGTACCACTGTACTCCAGCTGGCAACAGAGCAAGACTCCGTCAAACAAACGAACAAATAAATAAATAAATAGTTTCCAACTGCGATTTTTTTCCTTCTCATTTTTTAGTCTTAATGAAGCATATAGTATCAAAATCTGTCTTAAAGTATCCAGAACTGAATGATTTGTTTTTCTTAATATCATTTAAGACTGAATTAATTTTGCTTATATGTTTCTGCAGCTAGCAACACAGTTAAGTACATACATTTTACAATGACTGAATCTCTGCGACATGCCACACATCTTATAATGGGAAAAACTGATGCTGAAAGAGGTAAATAATCTTGATTGCACAACCAAGTCAGGAGTGGAGCTGGAACTGGAATTTAAGATCTTTCAATTCTAAGACTGTTGTATTTTTTTTTTTTTTTTTTTTTTTTTTTTTTTTTGAGACGGAGTTTCGCTCTTGTTACCCAGGCTGGAGTGCAATGGCACGATCTCGGCTCACCGCAACCTCCGCCTCCTGGGTTCCAGCAATTCTCCTGCCTCAGCCTCCTGAATAGCTGGGATTACAGGCACGTGCCGCCATGCCCAGCTAATTTTTTGTATTTTTAGTAGAGACGGGGTTTCACCATGTTGACTGGGATGGTCTCGATCTCTTGACCTTGTGATCCACCTGCCTCAGCCTCCCAAAGTGCTGGGATTACAGGCTTGAGCCACCGCGCCCGGCCGACTGTTGTATTTTCAATCCTCCCTGCCACCTCCTACTCAACCACACACATAGTTAATTCACATCTGTTTCACAGGCATCTAAAGCTTGGGAGTATTTGCCACACATACCATTGACCAATATTGTTCTTATTCCATTCCTGGGAAGTTGAATGTTGAACCCAAGGCTAGGACTTTATATTTGCTCTTGATCCATTTTATCTTTATACAATAAATTCAGCATGTCATTCTGGTCTCTTGAAATCTTTGGGGATCTGGGTCCTGCCAGTATATTATTTCTTCCACCTCCTTCTTGTCTACATGTGTGGTCAGTGTTACATTATTTTCATATCTATCCTTAAAACAATATTAAACAGAATGTGGCCTTCAGGCAAAACACTGAAGCCCTTTCTCCAATCTGACTTAACCATTAGCATACTGGAAATAGTTATTCAATTACTTTTGTCTTGGCTAGAGTGCAATGATGCGATCTCAGCTCATTGCAACCTCCGCCTCTCAGGTTCAAGCAATTCTCCTGCCT